AAAAATAAAATTCTTTTTCGCTATGCAAGTTTATCATTCTTGCCTTCTTTTCTTCTTTCGTGAAATTTTCTTTACTGATTATGATTCGTTAAAAAACTTTTCCTTACTTTCTATTTTAAAATCTACAGAAAGAAAATATGGACTACAATATTTATAGTTTTAAAGTTAGATCAATGTATTCTTAAACAAAAATAAATAAATAAATTGTATTTATTTACGATAGGGTGGTAATTTTCTTTTTAGTCACTTTCCATATCCAAACGTTTTAAAATCGTAGTTTCCGCCGCCACATTTTTATGCCGAAGTAAAAATTAAAACAATATTTTTAAAAAAAAGGAATTAAGTTTTCATTTAATATTTTTATTTTAAGTAAAATAATCATAAGAGATTCCTCCTCCCAATATGAATGACCGATTGACAATATCGGCGATTTAATCATATTTGATTTTTCAAAGAAAATATTTATTACTATATTTTTTAAAAACTTCATTGGGTCAAAAAAAGTTGCAATAATTGAAGAATAACGTGAGCGCATTTTTTATATAATTTTTATTTTAAGTATTCAGTAATCTTTAAAATTTAGGAAAATATTCTCCATAATGTTTTAAATTTTAGATACTTTAGCTTTAAATTTACTATATAGTTGTCGCTTATTTTCTAATAATGTCGTGTATGGGTTACCATATTTACAGAAATTGACATTTACATACAAAAAATTCAAAATTCCTTTTAAAATATTGGTGTTTGATGATTTGTATTAAACTTTTCTATTGATTATTAATAAATATAGTTTTTATTTAATAACAATATCACCTAATAGGGACAAAGTAATGCAGAAATTTAAAAGATTTTAAACTTTATAAATTATTCTAATTAGATTTTTAAAAAAAAATGAAAACACTACCTGTAAAAATTCATTATTCATCAAAAACATTTTTCTCCTTAAGACAATAATGTCCATAATATATCTTATTCATAAAAGCAATTAAAAACTCTTTTAATTAAATAAAGTATTATTGCATTTCTTATTTTACAATTCAGAGCAGATTTTTGGTAACTAGTGTTTGTTTTACAAAAAAAAAAAAAAATTGATGATTTAAATTCTTCAAGGAGTTCTGCTTTTAACTAATATAAACATTAACTGGAACAAAATTTAATTTCTTGCAATTTCTTAAGACTTGATAGTTTTTTGTAATAATCATTAGTACTTCAGCAGTTGACCTAAAGAAATGAAAGCTGTATTGCTGTCTGAAAGAAGGCCGTGCAGTATGAGGTGCTTAACCAATTCCGAGTTGATTAAGGCCTCTAGTAGTTTACCAAAAAGAGGCAGAATGCTAATAGGTTGATAGTTTGCGGGGTCAAATGGTTTAGCTGAGTTCTTAAAGACTGGGAGAACAGAGGAGGATTTCTAACAAGCAGGAAAGCAAGAGGTAGTGAGGCATTTATTGCACAGTTTAGAGAGAACAGGAGTCAGTTCAGGAATTCATTTCTTGACTATTACAGACATACCATCAGGTCCACATGCTTTGTTGGGATTTGTCTGATTATAATGAAGCTTTCAGGACTTATTACCAAGTAAATGAAATTATTGTAGAAATGTTTCTCTTTTAGAAAATTTTGGTAAAAAAATTTTTTTTTTAAATTTACATGTTATACCCTGTTTATTTAATTTTATGAAATTTTGAAAAATTCTTTTTTGTAGACCTTAATGCTTATATTAGTTATATGGACAAGTTCATGAATAATAAAAAAAATAATAAGAGCTATTGATAAATCTATATCCACTTCATAAAAACTTCCACCTTGTGTTAAAAATATGCTTTTCTGTCATATTTTAAACTAAAAGTAAGTAATATTTATTCTAATTGAGATTAATTAAAGTTTAAATCGGTTAATCTTCCTCAAATAAAGTTTCAGAAAAGTATATTTTATTTTTGAATGAAGGGAATTGTTGTGTTGGCATATTTGTCAATATGGTCAATTTTAGCAATTTAAAAAATATATAATTCCAATCAATTTAAATTCAGTTTGGAATTCAGGAAAATATTTGCTTATTAAAAATATTAAATTTAATCTACTAGCATCGAATTAAAACTAAAATAAAAGCTTCAAGAAAGATTTTCCCCTTTTAAAATGCATTTTAAACCTTGGGTATTGCTTTTATTTTTTATTTTTTGAGAGGTACCTATTTGAAAGTAACTTGTACAATTATAATTCTGGCTTTTTATGTTTGTTTGAAAAGGGAAGTAAAAACCAGTGGAACTAAATTTTTGCTGAATCAGTAAAAATATGAAATAGTATCTCCATGAACTTTCTAAAAAAAATAATTTAAATGTTTTTTCATTTTTTTTTTTATCATTTCACCCCAAGCAAGGTAATAAAACCTCTAAAACACAAGGGGTTACTGAGTATTAGAGAATATGCAAAAAAGAAAACATTGTTAAAGAGAGAGAACAATAAAAGAATGAGAATTAAGAAAACAACTTCTGTTTTCTTAATTCCTGTTCTTAAAGCCAAGTAAATATATAAGATAGATTCTGACATGAACAAACTTTCCAAGCAGCAGTAACCCTAGTAATTGATTCAATATAATCATGTTAGCAGAAAATGTTAGCCCAAGAAGGTGCAATGAGTCACTCACCTGGAGGTTAGCATCAACCATGCTTATGGGAGACAAATTAACAAAAGATTAGTTTCATTTTGGAGGCATTAAAATTAACAAGCCATTTCTTGTCCCAGTTAACAACAGACTGTAGGTAATTTTTGAGATCAACTTTCAATTTGACTTTATTGAACCAATTAGACTTACCATTAAGACAGTAGTAAATAGTCATATCATCAGCAGAGATACCAAATTGAAAAATGATGACATCACGAAGGTCATTGATGAAAATTAGGACCAATGTTGGTTCAAGGATAGAGCCCTGGAGAATACTTGCAGTAATGCAAAAAGCTCTAGAAGAGTGGCCATTCAAGACAACATTAATTTCATGATTTGATAAGTAAGATTAATATCCAAAAGAACATGTCTTTTTTAAAAATGAAATTGTAGTTTTATTTGAAATAATAGCCTAAAGTTAATTTGTAAAAAAAAGAAAAAATATTTTATAGCCTTAAGTAAAGATTTTAGACATTTTTAAAACAAAGAAATAAAATAAAAAAAACTCACTTTGGCCCAGTTTGATTAGCAAATTTGATGGATTCTGATAAAAGAAATTAAAACATCCAATATCTGTTCCAGGCATTTGTTTCATGAAAAATAATAAATTTAAGGTTTAATTAAATTTTGTAAAATTATTACTTTTTGCATAAAATATAACAAAAAATGCATTTCCCACAACAGAGTATGTCCTTACTTGTCAACACATTCAAAGATCAAACACTTGTTATTTTACATAAAAAAATGCATGCTATAAATCAGATAAACTAAGAAAGCCCATCTATTAAAGAACTTTGTGGAAATATTTTCCAGGTCACTTACAATCCCTTAATAAATGATTTCTTTATTCTTACTGTATTTTTAACATTATTATAATGACAACAAAAACAGATAAAATCACTATCAGCATGAGTAGATTAGTTAAAACTATCAATAATTTTTGGTGGTCCTGAAAAGGGACATTTTTTTTTCTTTTTTGCCACAAGACATAACTTTTTGATTCATTTTTTTGATACTCTGTAGAGTAAAAAATCGAACAGTTGTAAAATGAAAAAATAAATTATTTTTAAAATTCTTCACCCATGAAAATAACATTAAACTTTGCATTTTTTTGATTCTTCAAACACATCTTTATTTCTATATAAGGTTTATTAGCAATGACCGAGAACTGAAAGGGTTTTAAAATTGTACTGCAAAAATATATGTCAATTTTTCACAAAGAAATATACATCAGAAATTTTTTTTTCTTGTGGAAACAAAAAATATATGGTATATTTTATTAAAATTAGATATTGGTAAGCTTCCACAAGAAATAATTTTTGAGTTTTCTTGAATTCTTTTCCCAATATCAAGTTCAATCATTAATTAATAAATGCTGAAAATGTCAATTAAATCTGATAATTTCTTGGTTTTTAGTAAATTTTTAAAAACAGTATAGTGTTGTTGTTAAAAGTACACAAAACTTTGGAGATACCTATCAAATAAATATTTTCTTTGTTTCATGAAAATTCCAAAATAGTCCAAGCATGTTTAATAGAATTCATGTAGACTTGGCAATAAGAGTTGCTTTTTTTCTGGAATGGTCATTCTTAAATCTCTACTTTTGACAATCCTGTAGAATGAATATGTATTTTTCTGTATTAATATTTCCTATGAACTCCAAAGGTATTGATCACATTTTTAAATTGATACCTGTCCAATGACTGAATGGTCACCATATTTGATTATGAGTTAAAGTTGATAAAGAAAAATTATTGGCTCATTTCTTTCCAGGCCATTATTTATTTGAAATTGATCATGAGGACTCATTTGAAAAGATGACAAAACTCTAAAGATCTTTTCACTATTTCAGTTACCACAGCTTTCTCTGAATGCTAACTAGTTTTAAGAAATAACTTTCTTTTGGCTATTCTCTTATAATAAATAGTACAGTGAAGACACAGTCCTTGGTTGATTCACATTCTATTGCACAGAGTCATAGTTTTGATGCCCCTGGTCAATCTGAGTGTAATGCAGTGGTTTCTTTCATTTGTGAACATTAATACACTTTCATTTCAAATATTTGACTACTTCATTCTACAAATCTGGCAAGTCCAATACTCTTGGAGGGTATGGTATTATAAATTGATTATTTCTTGTATTTTAGTGTAAATTGAGTAATTCTCAGTGTCTTTATTAAATATGTAAATTTGAATAAAATAGTGATTTCTATCAATATCTGTTAATTTTTTGCATGTAAAGTTGTGTATCTGCTCAGAAGGGGAGTAGGATTCCAGTTTTTGGAATTTTTTTTTTTTTTTCATACATTAAATTTTTTATTGTGCTTTTATTTCTGTTTCAGGTTGTTAGTGCAGCTTCTTGGAATCAGATGTGGGAACAGCAATGGACTTTGAATGAGGTGACACCTACCAATGAACAAAACAATGCTTCAAATTTGTTAGTCATTTTTTAATTATATATTTTTTTCAATTTGTTTCTTTGCAATTTTACTAAACCTATAATCTTTGATATTCATAAATAATGGCCATCTTTTTTTATTTTCTTATATTTCTCATCTTTTGTAAATATAGTCCTACTGACTTCAATATTTAGCATTGTAAAGTGAGTGGCTATGGTTGAATGTAAAATAAGTAAAACAGAACTGTTAAAGTTTGCAAGAAAAAGAAAAGAACAGGGCAAAAAATAACATAAAACAAGCAAACAATATATGCAAGGCAAATTAACAGTAATATGGCAAGGCAACAGTAATATAGCAAAATGTTCACAAACTAAGAATTGGGATTGACACACAAGAGACAGTGCAGATAAGCAAACATAGTGTTCTGACTACAAGACAAGACGGACTGTGTGCTTCTGCCTATAAATTGGGGAGGGGTAAGTGTTTTGCAGTCATTTCCACTATTGGATTGGAACCAACAGATTTTATGGTTTATTATAAATATTTACTTCTGAATGTTGTAAAATTTATTTTTATTTTACTTGAGTACTTAATACAATAAATATAATTAACAGGTAATCAATATAGGTATTATGAAAGTTCAGTTTTTATTGCTTTCCTTTCTCTTATTATTACTACTATCTCAGGTCATTGTTCTTTGGGCATGTATACGTGGATATATGAACATGCATGCTGTAGAGCAGAGTTTCCCAAACTTTTTCAGATGCGTAGCCCTTCTTGGTTGAGAAATTTTTTGAGGAACCCCTAGATACTAGTACTTTTATATTGTCATAATATAAATATTTTCATATACTTTTCTAAATAATAAGTACGTTCAAAAAGCAGTTAAAAAAATAATACATATTGATATATTTTTTTAATAAAAATGTAGATTTTTTTTTTTTAAATTTTCATACTTTCCACAAGTAACACATGGAACAGAATTATAAATAATATTAACATGAAATTTATTTTATATGTAATCAGAATATTTTAGAACATTCAATGAGAACAATGTTTCTGTTTTATATTGTCACATAATTTTTTTAATGTTTGGTTTTATACACGAGAGTGATTCTCAAGTCAGCAGCAGGATTAAGTCTACTTCAGTGTTTAGATTTTATGGCAGTGTAATAGGAAAATTCACTTTCGCATAAATAGGTTGGTGTTGTGTTTTTAACTGGAATGTATACACACGAAATTTACGCCAATGAAAGTCAATTAACAGCCAGATCTTTTTCCAATATGGCGAGAAAATTAACTTTCAGATTTGTGGTGTCATAGTACACAGATATCACAATCAATAACTACTTTTCAATTTAGCAGTAGCATGATATAATTATCATTCACTGATATACAATATAGAAAAGTATTACAAGATACGTCACAACATTATAGAACAATCTGTTGGCAACTAATTTTTTAGAAATTATTTATCAACCTTGATAATGTGTTATGTTAAACATTTATTACTCTGAACTTTTGTCATGAAACCCCAGACACTCCTTTGTGGAACTTCTGGGTTCCTTGGCTTTAGAGTGATGGTTTGAAAGTTAGGTGATGAACTATTGTGGCCTTGTATTATACACAGCTTAGGAAATATTTAAATGTAATTAATTTCATCATTCATCAACTCACTCCTAGCAGTTATAATATTGTGTCTTGCTTAGACTACTTGCCGTGACATAATCAATTCTTTCTCCTCTTTTTGACTCCAACAAACTTCTCTTGACTGACTTCTTTATTTAAGTTCTTTATTTAAGGCGTCTTGCCTAGTTCATTTGTGTTACCACAGGTGTCTTATTTACTCCAAAATGTCCCTTTTCTGAGATTTTTTTTTCTTTTTCACTAGTAAATATTTTATTTCTTAGTATTCAACCTCTCCTCTTTCTGGCTAGTTCACTATGTACTGAACTTTGTATTGCTTTCATTTTGGGTCAACTTCTAGTTTTCCTGTACGTTTCCTTTTCTTGGAGTGTTGGTATGTCAAAAATATCATAGAATTTTCCAATTCTCATTATTGAAATTAATGAGAGGTTAAATATTTGTGCTCAGAGAGCATCGGTGCTTTGAAAAGTTTAATAAAATATTGAAATAATATGATAAAAATAATTTATAGAAAATCATATTAACATACTTTTTTACATACAGTTAATTATTTTAATTATTATTTTTCAGAAGGACACATCCTCCAGAAACTCCTTCAGTTTTATTGCCAAAGGAACGTCGCACATTTGTAGTACCCAACCATTTGGAATCATTCATGTCTAATTTATCTTCCCTTTGGAAAGCTGGGAGGCTTTGTGATGCTTCCATCAGTAATGGAACAGCTGATATAATGGTAAATATTACTTCTTTTCTATAGAATTACCTTTAAATTATACCTTCTTGCAGTTTGTTCTTACTGTGTACCCATTGTGATATATTGAGACAAGGAGTCATATAAATCATATGTTCAATATTATTATGTAACAGAAGAATTCAAGCATAATTTTATTTGACAAAACCTAAATCTCTTAGATTTGATGTAATAAGATGTAATCTGATTAATCCTGAACTTTTGGAAATTAAATATTTTATATTAATTCTTTGGGTGATAGTCAAATCTGGTTGTGATAAGTTCAATTACATTACACTAACTTTTGTTAAAGAAGCTACTGTTTGACTTGAAAACCAAATCAAATTGGCTATCTTTTGCATTTTTGTATCAACAGACTATTATTATTTTTAACTGCCTAAATAGTAGCGTATATATTAAAAGTAGGTATCTACATGAGATCGCTAAAAAAAAGTGCATAGACTGATGAAAAAGACGTCAAACTTGACGAAAACAAAATTTTATCACCAAAATGTTTATGTTACTATTAAGAGGAAAGAACAAAGTAATTTTAAATTATTTTTAAAAATTTTTCTGTCTTTATTAGAACATTCTAACTAATTGATTTTTTAAATAAATTTTAAACGTCGACATTCACTTTTGTAAACAAAAGTTAAATTTTGGATGTGCTAGAAATTATTAAAAAATGTAAAAAAATATTAAAAAAATACTTTTGATCTTTCCTCTTGATAATAACATTAACATTTAGACGATAAATTATTTTCATCAAGTTTAAGGCCTTTTTTATTCATATCGATCTTATGAACATACCTAATTAAAAGCCTTGAGGAGTAGATGAATTCTGTCAGTTGAAAAATGCCAGCTTTCATTGATAGATCATCAAAACAATTCCAATGTCTTAACATTAAAATTTTTGAATTTAACATGAAAGTTTACTTGTTTGGGAAAAAATCTTTACTTTTCTTGATAAACTTTGTGAGCAAATTCTTCAAGTGTTTTGTGTGTGTTTGTGTCTGTCTATATATATATATATATATAATGTGTGTATGTAGCCTAAAATTTGCTATATTTAGAGGAATAGAGTGCTCAGTATTGGAGATAGACCATTTATTAATATAAACAATGCAGACATAGAAATTAACACTGCATGATGGCTGTCAGTTTTAGATCTTGTAGTGAAGTGTAAAACTGACAGTCATCATGTAGTTTTGATTCATATATCCACACACAATGTCTGTCTGTGTTTCTCCCTTTCCACTTTCTCTCTCTCTCTCTCTATATTATATATATATATATATATAGACAAAAGGAAAACTTTTCTTTACCATGTTTCATCCCCTGAAGGACTTTATCAAGGTAAATGTAAATATTTTATTTTGCAACATGTATGTATAAACAGAAGTAAAAAAAATATAAAGTTTTCAAAATTTTTAAATTTAAGAATGCTCTAAAATATTCTTAAAGCTAACTGTAGAAGTAAAGGTAAACTATGGAAGATGCTAAGTAATATAATTTCAAGACTGATAAATGGAAGTGAGTAATTGTTGTTGAATTTTTATTTTATTTGTTTATATATATTTATTTTTTAGTGTAATTATTATTTAGTATTTTTTTTATTTTGATAAATTATTTATGTATTTTAAATAATAGATGGTCTTGAATTAACTGTTTTCTTTTAATTATTTCAAATTTTTATGGTCCTGTATGTTGGCTTAAGAAAGGAGTATTTTAAAAAACTCAGGGTGTAAGTTAATATTTTTGGAAAATTTGATATAGTCCCTCAGTTTTCCTTTTGACTTTATTCATACCATCATTTTACATCATTATTTATTTATATCTGAATTTTAACATATACATACATATTTGAGAAGATTTTGTTTGTCTTTTCTATGCTGTTATATATCTGACAAAGAGTCTAAAATTTATAAGAAGATATAGGTAATTCTGGGTTTTAAACATTTTTTTAATAGTTACATATTTATTTTTTTCAAACACATTTAATTATACTATTTACATTATTTGGACTATTGTCCTCATCTTTGTTGCCATGTTTATCACAACATTTCGGCCACTGTATGCTCCAGCCTTCTTCAGGTGGTTGGAATTTTGAACTGAACCCTTTATATCACTCACTGGGGTAGACTGTTCTAGTTCCACGTGCCATGTCAGTTATCTCCTGTTAATTCCCCTCTCAAAGTTCTCCACCACCTTAACCAGGTATTGAACTCACACTCTTTGGGTCCTGTCATTGGATCTAACTAATGCCTTTATCCACTGTGCCATGTGTCCTTGAGGACATCTGTGTATGAATTTCTGGGTATTATAAACATAATTTCTTCAGCAACATTTTTTACCAGTGCTCATATTGCAATTTTTTCATGATAAACATGGCGACAAAGATGAGGACAATAGTCCAAATAATGTAAATAGTGTACATAATACCTCATCTCAGAAATATAGACAGATACATTTAATTATGATTGCTGCATCACCTGTGAATGAAAGATTTAATGGTATATTTATGTTAATATAATAGTTAATGCCAAACAAGATTAAATGTAGTTTGAATGCAAGTCATATATATAAGTTTTTATAGCGTGATCTCTTGGCATGCCAAATTAAGCCCAATTGTTGTCCCAGTAAGCTAAGACCATTTTATATACTTACATATCCACTTACCTTTTTGTCACCTCTTGCAAATTAATGCACTCATTAAAAAAGTTTAGTTTTATTTGAATCTTAAAAAAGAAACCTCTTAGAATAAATGAAAATAAAAATATACTTTTTATGATATAATTGAATATCACAGTTTTATTTATTTGTTTTTTTTTTTCAGGGGTTGAAATTAAAATAATTTCATTTTTCTTTTAATACAGATACACAAGATGGTGTTAGCAGCTGTGTGCCCCAAAATACTTACAGAATTATCCAAGACACCTTTGGATAAATTTCAGAAAGTAACATTTCCAAGTACCGTTTCCAAAGAAGCACTCACTGCATTTGCAGAGTACATGTACAGTGGTGTCTTGGATTTAGATGAAACCATTCTTGCTCAATTGAAAATCATTGCCCAGCGGCTAGACATGAAAGACTTTGAGCAGCTCTGTGAGAGCCATCTTCAAACTCCACAGTTGATGTCTGCAAGAATGGGGTCAAGAGTCAGCAATGAGTTACAGTCAGCTGCTGATTTTGAATCTGCTGTTGGCCTGCGAACTCAGGTCACGTTTCGAGATGACATGACTCCTATCATGAAGTTGGTACCAGTTGATGGCCATAATAGTGATACATGGCCAAGCTCGACCTCGGACGTCTCATTTCCTATTGCAAGCACTACACCCAATGAAAGGATGCTGAAGGTCAAACAAGAACTTGCTGATTCAACTACCAATGACAATAGTAAACCATCAGTCAAGAAAGAACCGGTGACTTTAGAAGGCAAGGTTCTGAGTGATTCTTCAGCTTGGGAAACTCTAGACTTACTACGTGATCAGTCAACCCAGCCACAAGGATCCCTGCCCCATGTTGAAAGCCTCGTATCCATTTCTCCATTATGTGCCAAAATGACAAATCCTAATCCTGCTGCAACCTCTTTAAATTTTTCCACCCCAACAACAGCTGGTAGCTCCAGGCCTACAGCTCCAAACATTATCCAGCATGGTAATCCTCCATCTTCATCCTCTACCTCAAACACATTGGCCAGCATGACCTATTCTCAAACTGATAATTCACAAGTAAATTTGCTCAGTAGCTATGCTTCACGAACCTTGGAGTCAGAGGCACCATTAACGACAACAGCAGCTGCAATAGCTTCCTTAACATCTAACTCAGAGAGCGGCACTTCACAGACTCTACCTATAAAGCTCCCATCCCCTCTGTCATTTTACAATATTACATAATCAGATAAAACTATTTTTATCATTGTTAGTCTTTTTTATGGATTTGCATATTTAACTAAAGATGTCATTATTTATTTTATTTTGTATTTCACATATTTTTTTCATCCAGATCCTTTAAAGTATTATTTTTAGCATTATTGTAATTTTTACATCTGTTATTTTTACTATGTATATAAAAGTATAAGAATTCATTTTAATATCAAATATACAGAAAATCAATTTTCATTGCTAGACCTTCTGTAAGGACTTGTTTTCCTTACAGTTTTTGTTTTTATAATACCTATCTTGCTGAATTATTTTTAACCATGCAAAACCATTTACATTCATTATTTATACTATCATTCAAATTTTTAAAGTTGGAATATTTTTATTAAGAGAAATTTCATGTTTTTTGTTTTTTTTAAATGTCCTTAATATTTTTATTTATTATTTTTCACTTGTCTTTGTATTTGTATATTTACAATTTGGGTTAAAATAATCCTTCAAATCTTTGAAAAAAAAAATCTGTTAAAGATATAAAGTTTGCTAAATACTTTGTATGTTGTCATATGAAGGTTATTTTTTATTTGTTTTCTATTTTATTTTACCAAGTCAGCTTTATTGTACATATGCTATTGAAAAATACACATTGTAAAAGTGCTTACCAAATTAAAAGCTGTGGATGGCTCATAGTAAATGCTTACAGTTCAAGCCAGATAATTACAAAGGATTCTTTAAAACGTGCTGTAATAAAAGCAGTTATAATTTTGAAAACTATATTTGACCAGTTTTCATTTTTTGAATACATTTTTTGTTTTTAATGTTAACATTATCTTTTCAAAATAATAGAAAATATTTTAGAAAAATACTTTAATAAGAAAATAACTTTTGAAATTATCAGAGTAAAATCACTGCTCCTCATTCACAGCTTGGTTTGTACACCCAGAAATTAATGAGACATTTTATGGCATTAAATTAATGATGTTTCTCTCCATATGTATTCTTTAATTGCTATAAGAACACATATGTGCTGATTCAAGGCTAGGAAGATTAGATCATAGCAATCTATCTTGTGAGGTTGATCTGCCTGTCTTGTTAATTGGCATCTGAAATCCTGATCTTTCCCATGATTCAAACACCAACTACTGGTACCAGACAAGACCATTTCAACTATCAGGCAGACACCTATAGATTAACAGTTTTGATTGTACCTACTGTAAATTAGTTATTTGCCACTTTCATGAAAAATCCTGTGTGTTTTCTATTTGTTTACTGTAATTTAGAAAGAACAACTTTAAAATCCTGTAATTTCTCTGAATGATTATCCAATTTCATTTGTATCAAATGACTGAGACTTAATTTTTATATACTTCTAGTAATTCTAATTATTTATTTAATGAAAGACTTTTTCTGCATATCTAGAATTCCAGATTTATTTACTTTTCAAAAACATTTTGCCTATGTCAGCATTAATTGAACTTGTTATTTTTAAAATTGTATTCAAATTGCCATATAAAAGTTAATTTGAAGAAATGATCAAATGAACAGACTGAAACCAAAAACTCAAAGGTTTTAAACTGAATGAAGCCATAAAGTATAGGCTACAATAAAGTATTTTTTTTTTTTTTTTTTTATTGATTTGAATTCAGTTTGTCAAACTTCAGGATATTTTCTATCTCTGGTTAATACATTCATTTCTTTTATCATGGGTACTTTATTAAGTTCAAAAAGATTTTTTTTTAAATCTTGTATTTTAAAGACTTAAACATAGAACTGGTGACTATGTTGTTTGCTCCAATATCTGAGTAACTTAAGTCCACAGACAGGCTTGGTTGATGATGGGTTGTACTATGTGAAAGACCTTTGTCTCCTTCCCTACTTGAGTGAATCAATGGATGACGAGGCAACAGTGACACCATCAAAAATACAATCTGTTTTAGTAGAATATGGCCATAAGCATTCAGATGATGATTACAACCTCATGGGGTGATTACAACCTCATGGGAACACCCCAGAAAGTTAAAGAGTCTTCCATGCATCCACTTTGGAGAAGTACTTGCTGAAGGACTACCTCTAAGCTGGGCATTATGGTAGGGAAACCAGGGGGAGTATAGCAAGGAAAAACAGCCACAATTAGCATGTGATTTTTGTAGCAGGCAGCGGAAATAGCTGACAAGTATTTAATGGGGGCCCTCCATCACCCAAGCAAATAAATTTGCTATATTTAAGCTGAGTAAAAACCAGTTTCTTAGGTCACTTGTGGACTCTAGAGTGGCAAGTGTATAGTTCTCATTAGTTCAAAGTTTGCATTTGGCAAGCTTGCACTAATTCTTCTTTTTTTTTGGCACACAATACCTTTTGTAATTTTTGACAATTTTACTGAATTCAGTTTCTACAAAAACCTTCAATAGCAGATATTCATGCATAAAAATGCCTCTATTGCATAGCCTAAACATAACCTTACCAGAATATAACTGGAAGAAAGGAGTTCGCTCATAAAGTGAATTTATATTTGAAATTAATTCAGTCTGGAAAAAGTCAAAAAAAAAATAATACACTATACATAATATACATGTGAGACTAATGCTATTCCTAAATTAAATATTGTTTTCTTGTTGAAAGAAAGTCAATTCTTAAAACATCTGGTGGAATTCAATGTAATTCTCAATAATTAAGCAATTTACTATAGTAACTTAAAAGTATTGACAACAGTTTTTTTTTTTTTTTTTTTTTTTTTTTTTTTTACAACAATAAAAACTGGGGTAGCCATTTAAACTTGTATCTCAAAAATCATTAGCAAAAAATATATTATAAAATTTGAGTAACCTTTCCCGTTGTCTATTTAGTTATACACCCATTTGGTGAATTTCTCATGAGCAGGGCATCCACCACCCCATTTTTTTTTGTAGGTTTTATGCTCCTGTTCAGGTTTTGGTGAAGGTGTTTTCTCAATACACTTTCACTCAAACCTTCTATGAGTAGAGTGCATTAGCAGGAGCAGTTGTACCTTGGATACTGTCCCTGGGTATCATGTTATATGAATATAACACCACCTGGATAAAACATTGCTTCCAAGCTGCAATTTGCTTTGAACTTTCGTGGGGCTGTTCAAAGATTCTGTTTCCAGATGGTGTATATGCACATTGAAAACATAAGAGGACTGTCCATTCATCAGCAAAGGGTCATACTGGTGAATGCTATATCATTATCTGTTGGAATTTTATCAGGGATCTCCTTTCTAGGAATACAGCCTTGAATTGCTGCATCACATTTGCAGAATCTTGTCAGTGTAATTGTTGCCAGATGGTAAATTGCATTGGTCTACAATCAAAATCAAGTAGTTGGTATCACCATAATGAGTTATGTTCATTCAAAGTCTGTGCTACACACCGGACACCTCCAGTTTTCCTTTCTGCTTGGAACTTCATACAAGTTTTGATAGATGATCTGATATCCTTTTCAGATGTGGATGCTGTGACACTTCTGATGAAATAGGTGGTCAGTTTAACCCTGGAATGCATACTGTAAATGTATTTCCATTATTCAGCAGGCCTCAATTTCATCTTTCGTGGTGGTACAAAACTGCAGTAAGTGTACAGCTTCACTCTTCATTGCCTCAAGCCATCTTTGAATTTCTAGTTATTCTGTCTGCTTTGATTCTTGACTTTACTAATGTGAAATTTGCCACTAAATCATACTCCTTCACTAACTCAAAAAGTCTCCAGCCTTCTTATTAACATCTCACTTTCAGCCTTGGTATTGATTCTCGCTGTGCTGGTTAGAATGTTAGTGAGCCAGTAATAAACACACAAGAAATTGGTTTTTAAATGAAGAATCTTAGTCTTCCACAGTACGGCTAAACCTACTGCCTTTATTGTGCCATTCAACTCTGCAAGGTTGATGTGCTGTGTGTCTGATTCAGTGTGTCTGATGGCATGTGTCTTTGATGGCAGACCCGTTTGATCCAAATGATACACCAGCTGCCAACGAGCTTGCTTAAACCCACACATTGAACTCTGACATTCATCCACCTCTGGTAGGATCATTCAACTTCACTTTGTCTATAGTCTCTTTTAACATCTTCCTGAGCAGGGTATCATGCATTTGGTCATCCCATCTTTTTGTCACTGCACTTCAAGATGCTGCTTGTTATATACAGCCATCTCCATACCGGGAGATGTCCCACAAGCTTGCTGCAGGAGGAAAAGACTTTTCTGTTAATTACTTTGGAGATGTCTGAGAGTATGTTACTTCATTTCCACTGCAAAATCCCCTCCCTTCCCTCGAGCATCAAATCAAGCACTTTACCGCCATCTGTCAGGGGTCTTTACTTATGAGACTAAGACATAAGTGTTCTGCAACACATGAGGCTAGCAGTATGTCCTCATTAACATAGTTTGTTTCAGGATAGCATAGTTCTTACACTGGATTTCATTATCTGTAGTTTGATATTAAGCCCAAATCCTAGTCTGGTTAGGCGGTACCTCTTGCTCTGGAACATAATTGTTTGGTATGGCCAGAGTGACTACATGTAAAAAAAAAAAAAAAAAAGGGTGCCCTGAGTTCTAATAGAGAGACATTTGATCCTTGGCAACATCACTCCTTTAGTTTGCTGGTGCTGATGTCTGCATCAGTTGTAAATGTGTCATCATAAGGAATTAACCTGCCATTTTTTATCCATTGCTGAAGTTCTTATACATACTCCCGACTTGATGGGGTACTCCATTGTGCAGATTTGTAGCTTGTTAGGCATATATTACCTTCCACCCATTTCCATGATGCTATCCATTTGTTTTGTCAATAATTGAATTCTGTGAAAATCAGGTTCATCATTGCAGAGCACTGCACACATTCAATTCTTTCCTGAGTAACCACACCTCACCTGACGGTGAAATGGACATCCCTCCAAGTGCCTTGTGTCAATGCCAACTAATAAATCAAACTCCAGGGGTTTTCCATGTACCACTAAAGTGTTTATCAAAATGATTTCTTTATCATCTACTCTGAGGTCAATAGCTCCA